ATGTAAGTGCCGAAGATTAGAGGTGTTACAAGAGAGTAACAAACACAAAAGAAAGAGGGGAGATAAGGACGATAGATGTTTGATAGGAAAGAAGGAGCAAACCACACCAGAGCACCCGCCAACCACCCACGGCAAGAGTTTTAACGGCACTTGCAGAACAATAAAGTCATATAAGTGCCACAGACTAGAGGTGTTACAAGAGAGTAACAAACATAAAAAAAGAAGGAGAGATCAGGGCGATAGATGTTTCATAGGAAAGAAGGAGCAAACCACATCAGATCACCCACCAACCACCCACACCACAAACTGTGATAAACCTCAAATTTCTTTGTGGGAAACAAATCATGTCCTTGGTCTTCTGACCCACAGTGGTTACAAATGCCATCGTAAGATTATTATTAATACTGACCAATAGCAAATTTCAGGAGTCCACAGGAAAATCAGGACAGGTCACAATATAATGGAAATCGCCAGGATATCAGTCTTATAAGTTTGTAGACTCATATCTTCATCTCTGATAGATAGCTTATTATCCGTGTTAAATGAATGAAAAATCGAACAGAAATAATAAATCAACAGTCTATCAGAAATGAGGTTTTCACATGAGAAGAAAAGAAGTAATAAGAAAGGTTTTGAAAATGAATATTCCAATGTAAAGCACATTGAGCTACATCTTGTACTTTTTTTGGAAATGCGCTATATAAATGTTATATATTATTTAATTATTATCTATTATTATTCAAAGGTGATTTTCTTTAACTGTCCATGTTTGTGACCAAACTGTCTTTTCCCGTGGACTCACGTCATAATAAACTGCAGGACCTACCAGCGCTGGGAAATACATGTCATGTAATCATACAGCACGATGGGGAACAAAGGTTGCATATTATTACGTCTTCCTACAAAGTACCAGCCTTGTTAGTTTTGTTTTAGTAAAGGTTGTATAGTGCTCGCAAACTGCATAAGGTCATATGAGCGCCAAGGGGTGGATGTCAACAGAGAAGCCATAACAGGGAATCAGGCTTACTCTACCCCCCCCCCCCCCCCCCCCCCCCCAGGGTAGTGCCACTGACTGTTTATTTCCGGGGTGCCTTGATAGTCGAAACAGACTTTGTGCTGTTGAAGCTAGAGAGGTGAGCAGAGTAAGTCTTTTTTTATAGTAGAGGGTTTTACGGCGCTCGCAACTGCATAAGGTCATATGAGCGCCAAGGGGTGGATCAGGAAAGAAAAAGCAGCAGTTCCCTGTTGTAGATCAGGCACAGTTATGAGCGTGACATGAATCAGCCCATTTACAATTCTACTGTGCTTGAACGAGAAATGTCCCCCCTTTGGGAATGGCCTAAAGACACTTCAGTCAGTGGCACAACCCCGGGGGGTAGAACATAAACAAAAATCATCAGCGGAGTACAGTGCCGAAACAATACACATACAACTATCAGTTGATAGAGTATACAAACAATTCTAACATGCAATTAGATCCACCAACAGCCATGACAGCGTTAATTTACAGCATGGATCAACGACTACAGAGATGATGAAGGCACCACTTCACACACAATGGATAGACTAAGGGAAGCTGGTGTCTCTAGAGGGTCGGGGAGAGACAGCAACCTGCGTGGAAAAGCCAGAAGAATATCCAACCAGCTGTTAACTGGCTCGATCAGCAGGCAGACCCTTTCATGGATCTTGGAGAGGAGGGAGGAGCAGCTATGGCATTGTGTCGCCTGCAATGACGCCTATCCTCAAACCAAGTAAGTAAGCAAGAGTATGCATACATGCATAATTATATCCATTCGTTCTTTGGTGTTGTTTCATTAAAAAAATAACCAGAATTCCAGCTTAATCTTAGTCTTGTCAGTATGTTAGTGTTCTAGCGCCTACAAAATGGCAGCTTGCACTGAATGCCTCCCAGGAAACTGAGATTGTTTCAAAATGATATGATATCAAAGCGCAAATTACCGCTGGAGTAAAGATTGTAATGCGCATAGAGCATGCTGCCGACGAGAGGAAACTTGCGCTTTTCAAGCGGTCATCGTATTAAAAACGTTTCACTTCTGAATGTTCCAATCCGATGCGCTCTTCTTGTGGCCATTATATTTTGGGGAAAATCCAAAGAAACTGTGTGGTAAACATCGCTATACGGGGCGGGATGAGGCGACAAAGTTTTAAAAACTGTTCACTTCTGAAAGTTCCAATCCGAATCTCCTTTCCATTCGTTGGTCATCATCTTGTCACGTGGGAGTTGAAGAGAGAAAACACGTCATACCAGTCTCCGGGCACTAAGTGAAACAAGGACGGCTTTTTGTAATACAACAGCATGTACATGGTCTGGTCATCATCGACCACGCCTTCCTGCATCCAGGTCTCTACCTGTTTCTTCTGCATGTCGTACAGCTCTTTAAAAGCCCCCCCTCCGCCGGCAAAGAACAGGCCGGCCAGGATGTTGATGCTCATCTTGTGAATCTTGTGTTTGACGGGTTCGAACTTTCTCACTCCTGGTGGTCTCTCCATGAATGTCACTTGGTCGGGGTGGTCGAATAGACCCTTAGGTACCCAGACACCATCAGAGGGGTGGATGTCATGTCCGTGGCCGTAGCCACCGTCCATCCACATGAAATATGTCGTGCCGAACGGGTTGTCTCGGACAACTCTGGAAAAGGAAATAAATTCACATTTTAGTATAGATCTAGTTATAGTTGAAAAAGGACAAACATTCACATTTTATTATGGTTATAGTAGAAAAAGGACAAACATTCACATTTTAGTATACATATTATTTATGTAGTTAGGCCTATAGTTAAAAATGGAAAATTCACATTTTAGGGTAGTTTTAGTTGAAAAGGAACAATTCATTTTCAGTATAGTTATAGTGAAAAGGAACAATTCACATTTCAGTATTGTTTTAGTTGAAAAGGTTAGTTTAGTTTAGTTTTAGTTTAGAGTTTTACGGCACTTGCAACACAATAAGGTCATATAAGTGCCGACAATTATTGGTGTTACAAGGGAGTAACACACACACAAAAGAAAGAGGGGAGATAAAGACGATAGGTGTTTGATAGGAAAGAAGGGGCAAACCAAATCAGTGCACCCTCCAACCACCCACTCTAATAAGTGTTTTACGGCATTTGCTACACAATAGGTTCATATAAGTGCCGAAGATCAGACATGTTACAAGAGACTAACAAACACAAAAGAGAAGGAGGGGAGATAAGGACGATAGATGTTTGATTGGTAAGAAGAAGCAAAGGACACCAGAGCACCCGCCAACCGCCCACCACCCTAATCCCCCAAAATAGCAAGACCAATTGCTAAAACTATAACAACGACAACGACGACAACAACAACGACAACAACAACAACAACAACTACAATAACATCTTCCCTACCTGTCCATAAAATACAACTTGGACAGCTGCAGAATGTCGTACTCCGGGATGTAGGACTCACACAGCTGCTTCCACACCAGCTCGTTGTCCTGTTGGTACTCAGGACTCTTCATTATCTCCGACATCCGACCTCTCAGTCTGAAAGCGCAAAGAGGAAATGAGAAAATTTTGCATAGTTGGGTTTTGAGCAGAGATCGTACAAGATAACAAGATAGTTCACTCAGCCAAAAAAGTGTCCGCCTAAGTCCGCGCATTGGTTCAGATGGTGCTGCAGTCCTTGTTTTGAAGCTCGGGCTAAAACAGCACCTGGACATGGATGGCTGGGGCCTCTATAAATAAATCATTGATGGTTAAGGTCAAGGTTTTGAAGCTCTCCATCGTTTCTCCAGAAGAAGAATAGGAAAAGCACAGCTTGTTAGTTTCACTTTTATTATTTTTCACACAAGTAAGGTAACTCTCTGATCGCAAAGTCCGCACTTTTTCGAAGAGGGCGCCATCGAATTTTGAGGACACTTTTTTAAATTGGCTCAAAGAGAGCAGTGAACTATCTTGTTACGTATGATCTTTGGTTTAAGTAAAGGGAAGCATACTATTGCGACCCAGTTGGTTGAGTTTGTGTTGGGTACAAGCAGGAAAAGTAAACAGAGACAAACGACAGATATTTTTCTGTTTTCCTGAGATTTACATGTAGTCTTTTTTGTAAATTTTAGTGGAGGTTTTTCGGCGCTCGCAACAGCATAAGGTCATATGAGCGCCAGAAGATTAGAGGTGTTACAAGAGAGTAACAAACATAAAAAAGAAGAAGGGGAGATAAGGACGACAGATTTTGGATAGGAAAGAAGAAGCAAACCACACCAGAGCATCCGCCAACCACCCACTGAGTTGGCAGTTTGAGTAAAGGGAAGCATAATGTTGCAACCAGTTGGTTGAGTTAGTGTTGGAGACAAGCAGGAAAAGTAAACAGAGACAAAGCAGTTATTTTTCCAGTTTTCCTGAGATGTAGTCTAACACATAATATATAAGGAGGAGGAGGAGGAGGAGGAGGAGGA